GCGGAGCGGGTGGGCGCCGGGGCGCCCGTGTACCTGGCGGCGGTGCTGGAGTACCTGACGGCGGAGATCCTGGAGCTGGCCGGCAACGCCGCGCGCGACAACAAGAAGACCAGGATCATCCCGCGGCACCTGCAGCTCGCCATCCGCAACGACGAGGAGCTGAACAAGCTGCTGGGCAAAGTCACCATCGCGCAGGGCGGCGTCCTGCCCAACATCCAGGCCGTGCTGCTGCCCAAGAAGACGGAGAGTCAGAAGGCGAAGAGCAAGTGACCCCGACGCCGGCACCCCGAGCAGAGGCTCCTCTCAGGGCCGCCCCGCAGTGTGTGAATATGCCTAATGCCCAGGAGGGTCCCGGCGCCATCTAGCGGGGAGGTGGGCTGCGGAGGGGCCCACCGGGGTCGGGGGCCAATAAAGTCGGTGAAAATCGTGTGGTCGAGAGAGCTGTGTAGTCGCGGGGCCTGCCGCCGGAGAGCTCTGGAGCAGGTACCGGTGGATCGATCGGCTCTGGTCCGCAGGTCACTCTGGAGGCGCTACGGGCGGATCGGAGACCTGGGGGCACCCCCGGGCCTGGTGGGGCAGAGTTGGGAGCGCTCCCTGATCGCCTTCAGGCAAAGGAGAAGGAGATCTCTGTAGGTGTGGATGCGGCGGGGGCAATTATTTGTATGGCCTCTTCCCACGCTGTAGCTCTCTTGCCCTATCTGGGCAGTTCAGAGACCAGTTATAGAAAAGAGACGGGGTGGACCCAGCTGGTCTAGGGTAGGAAGTTGTCTATCCGGTCGTACTTTTCAAAATGCGGAGTAACTTTCCGTCTTGGAAGAAGGACTCTGATGACACAGTGTCAGCTTAAATTTTTCTTAGCCTGTTAGCTGTTGTTGGCATGCTTTGGATATCAGGTATTTTTATACACATGCTTGTGTTCACATTTCTTTAAAATGAAGGAAACACCCAGTATTGTGTGTAATACAGAAGCATGAGTCATGAGGTTGGAAAATTGTTCCCCTGACACTCATGTTGCGTAACAGTGCAACGCCTTTAGTCATGAGTAACATATGCTTATGAGCTTTTAAAATGATTTTCCCAAGTTTCTAGCTTCATGGTGTTCTTGTCTCCGTCATATTATACCCCTTTGGAAATGTAGTTAAGTTTGATTTTGCTTTATAACAACAATTAGCCTGCTTGAAATCCCTTTTGCTCTTCCACTGGCCTGAAGTAATGGCCTCAGGCCAACCATGCCTATGTAAGTATGTTATTAAAGCAATGCTTTAATAAACATGTGAGATGCTTTAATAAATATGTGAGATGTGAGAAAAGGTAAGGACAGATGATTTAAGTGCAGGAGCAAACACATCTCAGGTCAAGAATTCACATTTAAAAGTTAAACACTAGCAATCCTATTCTGTCCTTGGTTGGCCCTTCCATTTCATCTTTTTTCTGCAAGCTTCATGCTGGCCCCTAGGGCCCATAACAAAGATCCCAATTTATATTTCACTTCTTTGAATTCATCTTTTCCTGTGAGTCAGGGTTGAAAAGTTCCTGGAAAAAAAAGAAGAGTATGTCTTCATCCTTAGTAGTCTTTGGCCCATTTTCCCATATGGACTTTCTCTATTCTTCCCCAGTACTTGCTGAGCATCTGTGTATGCCATGTTCAGTACTAGGTGATGGGTGATGGGAGTACAGCTGTAAATGAAGTCAACTACTCTCTTGGAGTTCACTTGTTTTTCTTGATGACTAAAGACAGTAGAAGGAACAGATGTCAGAGAAAGGATTCGCTGTCAGCTTCTGTTTACAGTACTTGTGTCACTTCACTGCTGTGGACTAAATGTTGGGATTACTTTTCCCATGTGGTCATCTTTGAGGTGTACAAAGGCCAGGCCACACACACTTAGGTTAAGCAGATTATTGCCTCCTAATTCCTGGGGAGATTAGACCCCAAGGGTACCATGCACAGGTTCCAGATGTCCACCTACTTATCCCACTCCTCACCTTTCATCCAGAAGGCTTCCTCATGTAAAATAGTCGTAATACCCCCTTGAGGACTGAGATTGGTCACTTACTACACACATTAGGCATATATTAGGCACTCAGTAAATTAAAAGAAGTACCATTTCCTACAGAATATGAGTTTACCCTTTTAGATTAAAGTATAACTAACCATCACTAATAAGATTTTTTGGTTTTGCTTGAATTTTACTGCCCAATTGTTAGGATAGTTCTCAGTGTTACCACTTTGGGGACATGGTAGGCAGTGGAGAAAAAAAAAAAATCAAGTGCTGGTTGTGACATTTAAGTCTTCATTTCCTGAAACAGTTGAGGTTTATTACCAACATGGTGAAGAAATAAGGATGAAGGCCAGCAAGACATAATAAAAAACACACCACTTTTCTTTCCCCTCTGAAGATTCACAGGAGTCTGTCCATTGAACCCTGCTACTTGAAAGGTAAGACAGGCAAGATACAAGGTGCAGTGACTGCCACCCCACCTCCACTTGCCACTGAAATTCTTAGGTTCTCCTGAACTACTTCCCCTGCTGCAAGGTTCAATCAATCCCTCGTCATTTCTGTTTTTGAGGTTTTTTGTTTTTTTTTAACCCGAATAATTTATTAACCGAAAAATGCATACCTCCTGCCAAGTCAATTCAGCCTGTGACCCTTGATGAGCAAACGGCTCTTGCCAGTGACCCTTGATGAGCGAACGGCTCTTGCCAATGTATGGTTGCTTATTTAAAAGGCCAATATTTCTTCAAGTACAAGACCATATGGAAGAAATCAGTACAAAAACTGATGGGACCTGAATTCTGATTTTTAATAGATTTGTAATCCACAGTTGTATTTATAGGCACATGTCTTTCCTGCAGAGATAAGCCAGTCAGTGGGACAGGCTGTGTCTTGGGCAGAACCTATTTGTTTTTCTGCAGGGCCAGCCATGTCTTTGTGTCTCTGAGAACTGGTCTGTTTGGTTTTGTGTGCCTGGAATCAAAAGGTTTCGTCTGTCTTCATAATTGCTGATGACTGGCCTACTACATGCAAACTCTTCACAAATCCCCTTTCAGTGGTTGAAAAGTCATATGCCATGGTGTTTAAGAACTCAAGTTCTCTGGAATGAGACAGGTTCAAATACATCCTGTTCCTTACTAGTTGAATGACTTGGGGAATGTTACTCAGTCTCTTTCAACCTCAGTGTCATCTATTAAGTGAGCATAACAATACAGCTTACCTTAGTGCCATGGTCGGCAAACTGCGGCTCGCGAGCCATATGCGGCTCTTTGGCCCCTTGAGTGTGGCTCTTCCTAAGCCTTAGGAGTACCCTAATTAAGTTAATAACAATGTACCTACCTATATAGTTTAAGTTTAAAAAATTTGGCTCTCAAAAGAAATTTCAATCGTTGTACTGTTGATATTTGGCTCTGTTGACTAATGAGTTTGCCGACCTCTGCAGTGGATTTTGGAGAGGAGTCAATGAGACAGTGTGAATGAGAGCAATAAGTGTTCCATATAGAACTGTGCTGAGTGAATAGTAACTATTTTTATTTTTTGGGAAAATGGATTTAGAGTGAGTAGCAGTAGTTATGGGACCTATTGATATAGTTAAACATGTCGTTCTAACAATCCTGTGACTTTTCTGGTAGAAAATCATAAGTTTAGTGGCTGTTTTATTAATTACAGGATGTCCCTAACTCAATCTAAATAGAAAAAGGTGCAATAAATAGTTGACGCTTATGAACCTTAATTTGCATCCCCCCCCCCGCCCCCAACAATCTAGTTTGGAATTAATGATTTGTTAAGTCACCATGCAGATTAAAATTGGAACCTGTTTGCTCAACAACTTATTGTGGATGTGTGTTATACCTATGATTGATAACCACTGTCAAGAAAAATGGGGTTATAATACAATAAAAAGATGATTATAATCTAGAAGGCTACATGTAAAGAAAGGGAGATACCTAGGGTGTTGGTATAACAGGGAATAGAGACACCTGTGTCCCTTAGCCTGCTAGGGAGAGTGGCATCTGTGTAAAGTCTAGATTTAAGAGTTAGCCTGACCTGGCAGGGTGTTTTGGGCAGAGAAGCAACATACACAAAGGCACGGGGGTCAAAAGGCAATACCTGCAGCTGGATGTGAATGAATCCAGGGGAAAGGTCTGGTCTGGAGATAAAAATTTGCGAGTCATGATTAAAAATGGTCAGAGTGGACAAAATCATCCAGAGGGCATATATGTATATAGAATATATGTATAGATATGTAAGGGAAAGTATAAAAAACAGGGGATGTGAGGATCTGTGAGATCTAATTGGCAGAGGAAGAGGAGTCACTAAGGAGATGGGAGGACATGGCCTGAAGGACACCAGGAGACAGAGTGTGAAGGGATATTTTTCACCATTTGGATTACTGCACTCCTTGATAGCCCCTAATTTGCTTATACTTTCACATACAACTAGAAACCTTTCTTTAGAGGTTATTACATTTTCCCACACAGCAAATGCTGACAAGCTGGCTCACTTTACTAATGGCATCGGGATGGATATATACACTTTTACTCTTTACAGAAATACATGGTGACAACTAAAACTGTCTTAATAAACGATGAGAAGATTATTCATAAAGAACCATTTTAAAATACATTATCATTCCATGTAGTTGAATATATTTTTTAAACATTTTAATGAAGTTTAATTTTTAAAAAAATTATAGAAATAGTGGTAACTTACTAAATCATAAAGGCACTGTAGGTATTTTAGAATGCTAAGCATTCTAAAACTAAATTTTTATAAAGCAGATAATGTTTATTATCTCAATAGAGGGAAATGGAGAGTAAGAGGAACAGAAAACATACAAACAAGAAGAAAAAACAGGAAGCCAGCTGGCTTCATGCAGATATGAAATTGTCACTGGTAAAGCTTTATTTTGTGTTTTTCTCCAAGGAGAAGAAAATTTTAGGTGTTGAAAAACAGATTTTAATCTATATATATCTATATCTATATCTATCTATATATCTATGTATATCTATATCTATATATATAAAAGGCTAAGTGACTGACCGTCCATCCATCCAACCATCCAACTGACTGATTGACTGGCTGGTACATATGACATGCACTGGCAATTTAAAAATAAATGTTGACTCGTGCATGCACAATACATATAAAGCTCTCGCTGGCTCGCATGCGTGTGTTTCAATCCGTCATTGTTGATCATGAATTTGATTGACACTTCTATTATAGAAAAAGGGTGAATAGTGATATTAAAATATTTCTTCTAATTAATTTCAATGTGCATGAATCTGTGCACTGGGCCACTAGTGCATGCATGAAAGAGAATGACAGCACATTTGGATAGTAACTTGGGTCCTTGATAATTTTATCAAGCCATGCAATTAAAAAGCCAGCACAACTTAATTCCAGTTATGGAAATGAAGGAGGGATAAGCCCT